ACGGCACATAACAACAACAACAACAGCATGTGATGGATGACGTTGATTGTTTTTCTAATGTTGAAGCATCCTTGCATACTTGATATGAACCCCACTTGGTCATATGAATGATTTTCTTGATATGTGGTTGGAATCTATTGGCTAAGATTTTGTTGAAGATTTTTGCATCTATATTCATGAGGAATATTGGTCTGTAGTTTTCCTTTTGAGTGATGTCTTTGTCTGGTTTTGATATCACGGTCATGCTTGCTTCATAAAATGAGTTAGGGAGGATTCCATCCTTTTCTATGTTTTAGAATAGTTTGAGTAGGATTGGTGTCAGTTCTTCTCTGAATGTTTGGTACAATTCTCCCATGAAACCATCTGGGCCAGGACTTTTTTTGTTGGTAATTTTTTTATGACCTGTTCAATTTCTTCTTTTGTTATGGATCTGTTCAACTTTTCCACATCAGTCTGTTTTAGTTCAGGTAAGTAAATCTGTGATTCTTATGTAATGAACAAACAGACAAATAACCCCATCAGTTGTTGCTGAGTTGGATTGCAACTCATGGCAATCCTGTGTATTTCAGATTATATCTGCACTTTATAGGGTTTCAAGGGCTGTGATGTTTTGGAAGTGAATTCCCAGGCCTTTCTTCTGACTTGTCCCTAGGTGGATTCAAACTTCCAACCTTTTGATAAGTAGACAGTGTTTAGCTGTTTGTGCCACCCGGGGACTTGTAGACTTATGCTAGTTTGTATTATACAGCCTACGAGATAAATTGGATTTGGTAATTATCTGATTATTTTGATTGTTGTATATGCTCCTCCTCTTTCATAATCTCCACAGTAGCTGGTCTTTTAATAGGCAACTTGTTTTTATTTCCAGCACATAGCACTGTACGTGGCACATAATGGTGCTCAATCAGTTCCATTCAGTGCGTGAGTTAATGAAGATAGAGAAGCACTCCATCTGGAATGATCTAATACAGTTTCTATTTCATCCAAATTAATCAAATAGCTTCTCAGTGATCTGTGTAAAGAGAGGAACACTCTAGCAATTCCTTTCACTTTAGTTTTTTGTTCTCAAGAGTTCAAAAGAATATTGTGGTGGTTACATTTGTGTGTCAACTTGGCTGGGCCTGGGTGAGTGGCTGGGCAGCTGGATGTAGTATTCCCCATGATGAGACTGGTAATCAATTCCAAGGTGGAATCTACTGTGAGCAGCTGAGTAGCTGCCTTTGCCTATGTGATCTGCTTCCCATATATAATAAACAGCTTTGGAAATGGTCTGTAGCTTGTGGCACGTTTGGACCCTGCATGTAGCCGTGTTGTTCAGCAGCCTACCATGCTCTGCTGACCTTGGGGCTTACAATGGACTTGAATGAATGGCCTGCTGTGTGGTTTGGTAACATCAGGACTGTGCCTTTTACTTGTCAACCTTGGGCTTGCCAGCCTCAGCAGCCAGCAGCTATCTGAGTGAAGAAAAGCCTCAAGCTTCAGTGCGCCAGGAGCTGGAGGCAAAGCTGAAGCCCAAGGCTGAGGGGCTTTCACCCAGCCCCTAGAGCTTGGGACTTTGGACTTGGACTTTTAATGCCTCCAAATTATAAGAATAAACTTCTGTTTGTTAAGACCATCCCATTTGTATATTCTTGTCAGAGGGGTACTAGGTAACCAGAACAATTTGTTCTCAAAAGTGTGTGTTACGCTTATAACAATGAAGACAACACAGAGAACTCCTACTGCTTAAAATGATCAAACTATGTCATTATCATTTCATGGCAAACAGAGCACTGTCCTAGGTTCTGGAGATTAAAAAAAGAGCAGCAAATTCAGGCTCTCAGGAGATTTATAATCTTCTTAGAGAAGGGTAAAAATAAATAAATAAATAAATAAATTTAAGATTCAAGGCACAAATATGAAGCACACGTGAAAACCTTATCCTAATGCACATAAGGAGCTCTGATGGTGCAGTGGTTAAGGCATTTGGCTGCTAACCACAAGATCAGTGGTTCAAACCCACCAGCTGCTTGGCAGAAGAAAGATGAAGCAGTCTGCTTCTGTGAAGATTAACAGCCTTGGAAATTTTATGAGATAGTTCTATTCTGTCCTATGGGGTTGCTGTAAGTAGGAGTAGATTTTTGATGACAGTGGGTTTGGTTTTTTTAGTTTTTAATTCACTTTGTTCTTTAATCAGGTATATTGATCCATCAAATGTAAACAAACAAACAAACAAACTCTTAAGTTCAAAAGAAAATATAGTCCACACTGGGTGGCTACCAAGAAGAGGAATGGCTTATACTAGAAAAACAAACACTATTCTAAAGCAAATACATTGACTCCAAGGAAAAATCAATAATAGGAAGTACCATGATGTCATTAGTGAAGAGTCTGAGAAACTTTTTCTAGGTATCCCTAGAATGCTGTTATTTTTGTTATATAACTTACTGGACTTGCTAATATGCTGTGTATCTAGAACTAATATTTTAAAATAAATAAAATAAGGTCTTTTAGAAATTAAGGTTTTAGTCGTGACTCAGTATTTGAAATTTCTAGCATAACCCCTCCCTAAGAAGGAAACAAATCTTAATCCTTATAAATGGTCTTCAGTAATGCATTTGAGGGGATCAAAATGTTGTAAAGTAAGTGAACTTATGATAGATAGATACGTCATGCTCTACAGGTCTATTCATTCCCCTTCTTATTTAAAAACAAATGCAGGGCTGGATGCACCCCTGAAATTATTGTCCTAGATAATCTTTAAACCTTAAACCAAAAATATTCTCTGAAGTCTCCTTAAAACCAAACAATAGTTGAGCTTAACTAGTAAAAATGTCTACCTTGAGCATTGTGTTCTTTTAAGAACCATCTATGAGGGGTCAAAGGGACAACAGCAACTCTAAAGACTGGATAGGAACCTTAGGGGCCAGCAAATTTATGTTGATGGAAGAGGAACAACTTAGAAAGGGAGGGTGACACACATGGGGTCACCATGAGTTGCAGTCTACTCTACATTAACTGTTTTTTTTTTTTTTTCCTTTTCATTGAATGCTTACTGTGTTAGACAGAGTTCTCTAGAGAAACAAAACCAGTAAAGCTTATACATACAGAGAAAGAAAAATTTATCTTAGGAAAATGGCTCATACACTTATAGAAGCTGGCAAGTCCCAAGTTCTTGGATCAAATGTCAAGTTGGAGGCTTTTCCCAACTCATGCAGCTGCAGGGGCTGCTCAAGGTTGGCAGGTGGTATACTGGCTGTTGACTCCAACGAATGACGAATCCAAGATCTCCAGGCCAAATAGTGGATTGTTCGCTCACGGACAGTTGTAGGCAGCACAACAGAATCCCGATCCACAGAAAAGTGTCTCTTTTCCCAGGATGTCCATAAATATACTGGAAGCAGGCCACACCCCTAGGGAAACTCCCTTTCAGTGGATTGGCTGCTCAAAACATATACATCTGATCCCATCATGAGAACAACCTACATCACAATTGCTTAAAGCACACAGAATTGTGGTTCAGCCAAATTGACACACAGCTCCAACAATCACACTTACCAAGTACTGGACACATACTAAGTGTTTTACATGTGTTATCTAATTTAATCTTTGAAACATCTCAATCAGATAGATACTATTATTATCCTTAATTTACCACTAAGGAAACTCAAGGCCCAGAGATACTACATAATTTGTTTGAAGTCACACAGCTAGTAAGTGGCTGAGCCAGAATTCAGACTTAGACAAATTGACTCTATAGCCTGCATTCTTGATTTTCATATACAGCTTTCATGGGATGATATTAATACTTACCTCCATTAATACATAGGGGAGGGTAAATAAGATAATGCATGTCATGCATTTAGCATTGTGTGTGTATGGCACATAATAGAAGCTCACTAAACGTTGTTGTTGTTATGTGCCGTCAAGTCGGACCTGACTCATAGCGACCCCTCCTTGGGTTTCCAAGGCAGTATCACTATGGAAGTAGATTGCCCCATCTTCCTTCCGAGGAGTGACTGGTAGGTTTGAACCACCAGCCTTCTGGTTAGCAGTCAAGTGCCTTAGTTACTGTAATTATTATTCTTATGTTACAATGATAACTTCCTTTTTCCCTGGAGAAACACAGATGTTAAAATTGATACATACAGGTATTTCTGGAAATTTTTGAGTGTAAGTTAGATGTGTATCATTTGTTTCCTAACAAACTGATTATATTGTTATTCAAATGTGTGTGAAAGGTAGCTTAGCTGATAATCTTCCTGCTTTACTTTGGATTTTGTTTTATTATTATTTCACTGTTGTTGTTTCAAGAGTGTGAATCAATGTAAGACAGATATAAAGAAGTTAATATGTATTCTTTATATTATTATTATATTATTATTTATTCTTTATATTTAAATAGACCAAATCTCTATATCTTAATCTCTATACATTAATATGTATTCTTTATATTATTATTATATTATTTAGTCTTTATATTAACTTCTTTATATCTGTCTTATATTGATATGTATTTTTTATACTATTATTATTTATTCTTTATATTAACTTCTTTATATCTGTCTTACATTGATTTGCCACTCTTGAAACAACAGTGAAAACATTTATTTCTTGACATTTTTTTCTGAGCTCTCTCCCATCTCACCCTTTGAATAAGCCATCTACAACCTCCTCCTCCCACTGTAATTGTATGGTGACTTCTTAAGGTATAGAGATTTGGTCTATTTAGAAAAATACATATATTTTTTATTGTGATTTGGGTGAAAATTTACAGAGCAAATTCACTTTCCATACAGCAGTTTACATATACTTTGTCTCATGACAATGACCACAGTTTACCACAATGCAACAGCTCCCTTCCCACTTCTTCCCCATAGTTACCTCTTCCCTGTGTCCATCCCTCCATGAACTCCTGCCCCTGAGCTGTATCCCTGTGCATAAGCTGCCCTTCTTTCTCCCATGATATTTAAAAATATTGTTTCTTCCCTTTTAAGATATTATTACTCAAGAGATGACAACCGCTGCTCAAGAAGCAGAAGCCACTTTATCATTGATGATGCATGAACAAGTTTCTACCCTCGGGATTACCAGAGAAAATGGGGAGACTAAGGAAGGAAAAGAGTCTTCCTCACCCACATCTGATGTTTCTAGTGTAACTCTGCTGTCAAGAAGATCAGACCCTCTGGATGCTGCAGTTCCTACTACAGCCGTGCCTTTGTCTTTTGAAGTTGCTCCCACTGTGGAAGGTCTGTAAGGAGGGAATTGGTCTCAGTATTTTAGGGGTGGATCTTTTCTGTGAACTGACAAAGAATAAAATGAGGGAGGCAGATGGCCCTGCCAGTGGCCAGGTGCACACATACCTCACTTGGAGGGTGAACAGGATAGGTAACGGAGACTCTTGTTTGGAGATATGTGCTATAGCCTAAGAGGACTAGAGGTTGCTTTCCAAATAAAAACTCCTGGATGGCTTATCTCTGGATCCTGTGCAACTGGACCTGAGAACTTTCTTCTAATTTGCAGCTCTGGCTGCTAAGAGTCAGGGATGAGGTGAAAATAGCAAGGACCTGGGTTTGAATCCCAAAGTGGCTCATGCTAGCATTGTAGCCTCAAGCAAGTGTCTTAACTTCTCTAATCTTTGGTTTGTTCATCACTAAATAACACATTTCATAGGCTATTTTAAAGATTTGAAATACTGTACACAAAGGGCTTTTTATTACAGGAGGCCACTAAAAGCTCTGATTTCTTAAAGATGGGGAGGTTCTCAATCTATGTAATCATCAGAATCACCTGTGGATTTAAAAAACAATTGTACAGTTGATTCTCATTGTTTGTGATAGACTGTTCTATAAAGGCCCTGTGAACACTGAGTCAGTTACTACCCCACCAGCCTTGTTTGATCTCAGCTGGGGCTGGGTGCTGTTGGATGACTCATTTTTTACCAGTTTACTCATGCACATGTCTGTGAATGATAAAGTGCCTCAAGAATTGATTTTGGGGTTACAAAAAAATTATAGTGAGTAGGTGAATTTGCAAATGTGGAAAGCAAGAATAATGAGGAATGCCTCTCTTATTTTTGGACCTCATGTCTGTGTTTCATTAATCCAAATATGGCCCACTTTTATTATTTAGTGCATTGTTTTTTAACAGTGTAATAAATATCTTCCAACCCTTCTTCTCCCTCACAAAAACTAGGGCCTTTTTAATAACCTACATGTAAACCCATGATCGATTCTCTTGCAACCCTTCCTCTTCTGGTAACCACCACCCTGAATCTTGTGTTCTGCATTTCCTTGACTTCTTTAGTTGTATTGCATCTCTATATATATATTCTTGAAAGTATACATCTTACCATTTTAGCTGTGTTTAACTTTATAAAAAAAAGATATCATAATGTAGATAGCCTTTTTTGGAACTTACTTTTTTACTTAATATTATATGACTGGAGGAATTCTGGTGATGTAGTGATTAAGGCATTTTGGCTGCTAACCAGAAGGTTGGTGGTTCAAATCTACCAGCTGCTCTGTGGAAGAAAGATGAGACAGTCTGCTTCCGTAAAGATTCTGTAAACCCTTTGAAAACCCTTGGGAGTCACTATGAGTTGAAATCGACTCAATGGCAGTGAGGTTTTGGTTTGATTATTTGACTTAAGATTATGACCTCTGTATAATTATCCATTTTGAAAATTTATCACAGTTTATTCACCCAGTCTCCATCCACTCTCCTGTTTATTTGCTTTTGAGTTGTTTCCAGGTTTGGCTATTGTGAACATTACTACCATGGATATTCTTTTACATGTTCTTTATTGTATGTGTGCAAGAGTTTTTTTTTGGGAGTGGAATTGCTAATGTTTAACTTTAGGAGATAATGCCCAACTGTTTTCCAAAATGGTATACCAATTTATACTCCCAGCAGCAATGTATGAGAGACCCTCTGGATCCATGTCCTGAGAGCTTTTGAATATACAGTAAGTTGTTTGGCTGAAAGTTGAACCACAGGGGTTCAATCTTAAGTGGTTTAGATGGCCACTCACAAGCTTTTATGACCCAGTTGCTACTCACCAAAGTAGGATGTAGAACATTGCCTTTGTGGACTATTTTATGCCACATTACCTTAGTGTTCCCTGGGAACATTACCCTCCACTTTACCAAGCATGTTATCCTTCTTCAGGGAATGACAACATGATCAAAGTAGGTGAGATGAAGTCTGGCCATTCTTGTTTCCAAGGAGCATTCTGGCCATTCCTCCTGTAGGACAGACTTGTTCATTCTTCTGGCAGTCCATGGTACTTTCAGTGTTCTTTACCAACACCACAACTGAAAAGCCTCAACTCTTCTTTGGTGTTTCTTTCACATGCATATTAGGCTATTGAAAATACCATGGCTTGTGTGAGGTTCACCTTAGTCTTCAAAGAGACATCTTTGCTCTTCAGCACATTAAAGAGGTCTTTTGCCCAGTGCAGTACATTGTCTGAATGGGAGATAGGGATTTTTTTTTTTTTTTTTTTTAATTCTTATTTCAGACAATGTATGTTTTGGAAGAAAAAGTGTTTGCCTTGGATAGCTTGATTAATGCCATATGTGGAAGGGGAGTATGTGGTCTAAGTGCCAGAGTTACTGTATATAAGATTTTGGTTTCATGAATCATTTCTTGCTTAAAAAGTGAAAACACAGTTTGGGTTTCCCATAATGATCATCTTGTTGGTAAAGTCTTGTCTGTTTTTCTTGGCAGAATTAGTGGACACTGTCATGGGACCAAGTGAGGAGTTGTTCACATCAGTTTTGGGCTCTTCAGTGACCCCTCCTGGAATAACGGAGGAGTCAGCCAGCATTTCTCTAGTGCTTCCTGCTTCTGAGACATCCTCTGAAGGAAGAACTGTTGTTCCATCCATTAGTCGTGTTAATACAGCTGCCACATATGGCCTGGACCAACTTGAATCTGAAGGTATTCTTGTTTTGGAGGGGATCTTTTCTAGGACTGATTGAGTCACTGAGTGTCTTGGTTTGTTAGTGCTGCTGTAACAAGAATATCACAAGTGGGTGGCTTCAAAGAACAGAAATTCATTTTCTCAGTTCAGGAGACTGGCAGTCTGCATTTAGGGTTTTGGCCCTAGGGAAAGGTCTCTCTTTGTCTCTTTTACTTTCTAGTAGCTGCTATTAATCCTTAGTGTTCCTGGGCTTAGATGTGTCTGCCTCGTGTATCTGTCTATTCCGCTTTTTGAATAAAACATCACTCAGAAGGGATTAGCTTTTGGACCTACCCTGCTCTGCTATGGCCTCATTAACATAGCAACAGAAAGCTCCTATTTCCACACAGGGTCATATTTATAGGTATAGGGGTTTAGGACTTCAACATAACTTTCTAGGGGACACAATTCAATCCATAACACTGAGCAAATGTTGTTTATGAGAAAAGATTAAGAAAAGTGTGTTCCATCTGTATGGTAGATTAAAGGTTGGTGAAGTATGTCCTGGCCAAATCTGGCTGTGCCAGTAGAAGTGCCAATGGCGGACCTGGTTTCAGTGGAGCTTCCAGACTGAGACAGACTTGGAAGAAGGAGGAGGCTGTCCACTTCTCAAAGAATTGGCCAGTGAATAGTAGTTAAACACTGTCTGATACATTACTGGAAAATTTTATGAATAGCCCTGAAACATTGTCTGATACAGTGCCAGAAGATGAGCCCCTCAGGTCAGAAGGCACTCAGAATATGACTGGGAAAGAGCTGCCTCATCAGAGTAGAGCCTACCTTAATGATATGGATAAAGTAGGCTTTTGGGGCCTCCATTTGCTGAAGTGGCATGACTCAATATGAGAAGAAACAGCTGCAAACATTCATTGATAATCAGCACATGGAATGTAAGAAGTATGAATCTAGGAAAATTGGAAGTTGTCAATGAAATAGAACACATAAAGATTGATATCTGAGGCATTAGTGAGCTGTGATGGACTAGTTTTGGCCATTTTGAATCAGATAACCGTATAATCTACTATTCTGGGAATGACAATTGAAGAGAAATGGTGTGGCATTCATCGTCACAAGGAATGTTTCAAGATCTATCCTGAAGTACAATTCTGTCAGTGATAGAATAATATTCATATGCCTACAAGGAAAGCCAGTTAATACTACTATTATGCAAATTTATGTACCAACCACCAAAGCCAAAGATGAGGAAATTGAAGATTTTTACCAACTTCTGCAGTCTGAAGTTGACCAAACATGCAATCAAGATGTGCTGATTATCACTGGTGATTGGAATGCAAAAGTTGGAAACAAAGAAGAATCACTGGTAGTTGGAAAATTT